GGCAGTTCTCTGCTGATGTGCTGTTCTAATCATATATCATATATAATAATTTATAATATATTTAATATACTAACATAGATAGATAGATAGATAGATAGATAGATAGATAGATAGATAGATAGATGTTGGTATGTCAGAATTAATGAGAGTGGCTCAGGACAGGGCAGGGTTCAGAGCTGCTGTACATAGGGTCGCTATGGGTTGCTGGTACTCGATGGCACATAACAACAACAACAGCAACAAATATATATATATACACACACACACATCATTGCCATTAAGTCAGTTCTAACTCACAACAACTCTCCAGTAGGTTTCTGAGGCTGTAAATCCACATGGGAGGAGTTTCCTTATCTTAATTTTGCTGAGTGATTAGTGGAATTGAACCACTGACCTTTCTGTTAGCAGGTAGAAAAGTTATATTCTATGTCATCAAGCTGTTCTCTCTTGTGCTTTCTCTCTAGATACATACACATGCATATACTTAGTGGGTTTTTATGAGTTTATGCTAAGGGATTTTGTGTTGGGTAGTCTAGCTGTTGCAGTTGTTGGTTTAATAGGTGAATATTGCATATTTTAAAAAAATCACATCTACTACTGCCATTAAATTGATTCTAACTTTTAGCAACCACTGGGTTTTGGAGACTGTAAATCTTAATGAGAAGAGAGTGTTCACTTTCCTCTTCTGGTGGATTGAACTCTTGACTTTTAAAAAATTTTTTTTTATTGTTAGTCATAGCAAAACATGCCACATACACTCTATGCCAGCAGAACTCCTTCTTCAAATGGGAATGATCCTATGAAACACAATGTGTTCAGGAATATGTGAAACACAATATATATGAATGAACACAATGTCTATGGATTTTGTACGCATACCAATATAACATAAAAGGGGGAAATACACGATGTCTTGATAATTGATTCTCAAGACACTGAAGAATAATGAAATATATTTTCAAAACATCCAAACAAGTCCAAACCTACTACCATCAAGTCATGACGACCCTCCCTCCGTTTTCCCAGGCTACAAATCTTTGTGGGAGGAGACTTCTCCTCTTTCTCTTGAGGAGCAGTTGGTGGATTTAACAGGTGGTCCTTTCAATCACCAGCTCATGGAATGCACTCCACACCACCAGGGCTCCTTAAGTGCTTTTAGCATTGGAAAAGAGTGTATTTTAATATCCAGGAATTTCTTTGTTTATTCATATTTTCATACATTTTTTCAATAGTTATTGAGGGCATATATTCTACAGAGGACTTAACAGACACTGAGGATGCAATAGTGAACAAGTCAGTAAAAGAAAAAATATCTTTATATTCACTGTGGGGAGGGCAAGCAATAAGCAATATAAATAAGTATAATATCTGAAATGACTAAAACCAAACTAAATTGTTGACAAAGTAATTCCAATTTATCATGACCCAGCAGGACAAATCAGGGAGCTCTAGCAGTGTTGTCTGTAGGCAGCTGCTCTGCTAACCGGATGACTGTGCCTTTCTGCCAGTTTGAAACTGTCCAAAGGAACAACATGAACAATCTCCCTCTGCACAATTTACAGTCCCCAGAACCCCACTGGAGGATCAGCGATGAGTAAGTTCTGACTTGACAGCAATAAGGAGTCTATTTATTTAATTTTAACAACATAGAGCTTTTGTTATTAGACATTTCAAAACAAAATGGAGGAATTTCCACATAATATTTATAACCTCCTGACCGGCTCCACAATCAACACTCTTAGTACCAGCAGCCAAGAAATTAAAAGATGAATTGCATTGGGAAAATCTGCTGTCAGAGACTTTGCCAGAGTACTTAAGAGCAATGACGTCAGTCTGGATACTAAGGTGTGCCTGATCCAAGCCATAGTATTTTCAATTACTTGCTATGCATCAGAAAGCTGGACAATGATTAGGGACGCTACAAGGAGAATTGAAGCCTTTGAGCTGTGGTACTGGAGAAGAGTATTGAATATAATAGAGACTGCTAGGAGAACAAACAAATTGATCCTAGAGAGAGTGAAACCAGACTGCTTCTTGTAAGCAAGGATTCTGAAGCTTTGTCTGACATACTTTGGACATGTTGCAAGGATGAAAGGGACATCATGCTTGAAAGGGTAGAGGGACAATGCAAGATAAGAAGACTCTTGATGAGAAGGAATGATTCAGTTACTTGGGTGGTGGGGGCAGGTTTGTCAGAGACACTAAGGTTGGCACAGTATAGAGCAGGGTTTACGGCTGTTGTACATAGTGTGGCTACGAGTCGCAGGCAACTCAATGGCACATAACAACAACAACAACAACAACAACATTTATTACCTTCAAAGTACAATATTAATACATATCTGTCAGAAATAACAGCAATTTGTTAAGCTACAGGTTTAACAGAACACCAATTTAAAAATGGAAAAGCTGTAATGGTCCAATAGTCACCAATACAATATGCAATGCGTTTTGAGCTTTATAAGAAAGAATAAAAGTGTTCCCTAGAGTTTCTTAGATTTTAAATATTTTTTTAAAAAATTCCCCTCTCCCCCAAGATTTTAACTCTTTAGACACTCCCATGCCTTTCTTCTCTAGAGTGGCTGGTAGGTGCAAACTGTTTTCTTGTTGGTTAGCTGTCCTTTTCCAGACGAACGACTCTAATCATGGTTTAACCACCAGGGCACACTTTTAATATCTTGTAAACTAAACCTAAACCGCTGTTGTCAAGTCAAATCCAGCTTATGGTGGCCCTCCATGAGGTTGTCCATCTTTACAGGAGGGCACTGCTTAGCTTTTTTCTAAAATGAGATTGGAATTTCCAACCTTTTTGTTAGCAGTTGGGCTTGTAATGCACTCTGCCACCACAGCTCCTTTCAAATTCAACCGTGAATGCTCTGGGTGATCAGTACAGAGAAAGTTTTGGCAGTGCTTATGCAATGATGATAATCTTATTTATTGTGTACGTGACACAAAGTATTGGTTAATAAAAAAAATTTTGATGCCAAAATACCAAATTTGAAACAAAGCAAAAATAGCAGATGTTAAGTCGGGTTCAAATACACGCAATATTCTGTTCCATGACTCCAATTATGAAACCCACCATCGCAGTTACAGTAATAATAGTAAAGAGAATGGGTTAAATGATACTTTTTCCTAAAAAAAAAAGTAGTAGTAAAAAAAAAATCACATTAACCAATATTAAATGAGTGTGGGGGGGAAGAGCTCTTATGGGTTTACTGGAACCAAACCCAACACAAATGTAAATTAGGTAATCTTAGTGATTTTTATGATATCTTTATGATTGTGGAAGCTTTAGACATTTCTCTAGGCATTAATTTCTACCTAAAGTAAAATCAAACAGTTTAATTCCAAAGAGTAGCCTATGTGTTGATACAATTTATTAAACAGTAGTTAGTAGAACTAGCTCTTAAGCCGACATTTATGTATTAAATAAAAAAAAAATTTTCACATACCTTGTAAATCAACCACAACATCTCTGTGTTTGGAAAACTCATATGAAAAATGGCCATAAGCCAACCCATATTCTGTAGCTTTATATTCTGTTTTCACCACTTTCGTGTTATTTGATAATTTTACAAATTCTCCCAGAATATAAGGCTCCACACTGACACATCCCTTTATTGTTTTGTCTTCTAAAATCTGAAAAGCAGAAAAGAGCAGGCAACAGAGTGTAGTTGTAAAGGCCGCAGGCTTTGGAGTTAGGTGGCTCTCGGTTTGAACCTAGGCACTACCACTTAAGAATTGTGATTTGACACTGTGTGTATGGCAATTAAGAATCTGGAACAAGACATGTGTTACAGAGTAAACTAGCAGAGGCAGAAGGAGGAAAGGATGTATCAACAGCTAACATAAAACCCATCCTTTCTGTAAATTTTCACTTAAATCACAATTAAAATAAATTTTGTTGCTTAACCTCTCTAGACTTCTAGTTCTTCATGTGTAAAATGAACTTACTAGTAACTACTTGACAGACTTGCTAAAGGATTATATGATAAAATGTGCAACAAGCGCTTAACATTGTATGTGATATGTGACAGAATCTAAAAGTATTATTGTTCTTTTTTAACTGTTGTTGTAAAATGCCATGACTTTCATCCTTTCTCCAGGTTCACAGGGTTTCTGGAGGCAAGCTATTATGCAAGTGGATGCCACTCCTGCTTCCAAACTTGTTTTAATCGGGGAGCTCCACCAAACATAGTTCGCTAGAGAATGTAACTGAATATACACTGAGAGTCTCAAGATATCTTGAGAAAAATAAATTGATCTCCATAGTCCAGGAAAAGTAGAGCTTTAGACGATAGGTAGAAATGTGGTTCAGTGTTAAGCACTTCATAATTATTAGAACTATTTGCAAGTAAAAGGGTAATACTTTTTTTGTTTTTTTAACATTCCAGTGTTTAAGCAAGGGTTTAGTAATCATTTGATTACCAAGGATAGAGACCAAAACTCAGAAAAGTGGGATTTATGCTTCACATTGAAGAGGTAACTTTTACTATATGTGAGTTTTGCAGTAATGCCTCCAAAAGAACAGGGGAGTCCAGCATTAAGGCTGCATAGTGCAGTGGACTTGGGGGGAGGGACTGTATAACAATGAAATAATTTTTCTTTTACTTTTCAAAGAGAAGAGCGAACTAGGGGAGCGGGGTGGGCAGGGAGAAAAGTGCATCAATGAATGACTGGAAATCCAAAGGCTCTGCAAACTTTCATTAAAATGAATAACAATTAATAATAATAATAATAATAATGTGGGTTTTTTTTAAAAGAACAGAGATGCTTCAAAAGGAAAGTATACTAAACATGCTAACTTGATGATGCTGGACCACTTACCGCAATCAACAGTCAAGTGTGAGTTGGGACATTCAAACGATGAATTCAGGGTGGCAGAGGGTTGGCAGTGCAGGTCCTTTCCATCCCACCAGGCCACCAATAGGTGGGTTCAACTAGTCCCACACTTGCCTTAATCTTACCAGTAATATTGTAGATGGAATATAGAAAATCTGTGTTGGGATCCTCTGTTCATAGAGCTTCTTGTTAAATTCTGTCACATAGTGCTGTGCGGTCATCTGCCTTTCCACATCACTGAAGTGGTGCCAGAGTCCCTTCTGTTCTTTATACTCTTTCCCAACATACCTATGAAGGGACGAAAAATATACCAAAAGATGCAAGCTTCCCCCCCCCCCTCAGTTTCGCAGTTTGGCGTTTCCTCAGAAAGCTAAACGTAGAAATGCCATATGACTCAGCTATTCCACTGCTTGGTATATATGTATCCTGAGAAAATGATAACTGAGTGACAGAGACTTGTACACCAATGTTCATAACAGCGTTATTCACTATCGCCAAGAACATGGAAATAGTCCAAATGCCCAATCACAATGAAATCGACTGAGAAATTATGGTACATTCACAAGACAGAATACTACACAGCACACAAGAGCAATGATTTTGTAAATTACTACTTAACTTGGAGGGACTGGAGACCATTATACTAAATGAACTAACTCAGACTTATAAAGACAAATACTGTATAAGACCACTATGTAGAAATAGATAACTAGTAAAACATGTATGGGGATCTAGGGAGTGGGGATGGGTGAGGGGTAATCATGGGGTCGTATGGTTTGATGAGTAGATGTGGGGGGGGATCCAGTGTAAGGGGCAAGGTATACAAATTTTAGGTAAACCAATGTAATTTTTTTTTAAAAAGAATGGCAATAAATAAATTTTTTTTTAATTTTTTATGTGTTTACCAGCAAATCAGATCAAATTGGTACAGGAGGAGATTGTCCCTCCTTTTTCAGAAGAGCATCTGGTGGATCCAAACTGTGTACCTCTGGGATTGAAGTGCAGCTTCTTGCCAATAGGCCACCAGGGCTCGTCAAATAAAATTTTTAAAAAAAAATATTTATGTGCTTAAAAATTACACTTATTTTGTAAATTACTCTTTAAGCCCACTAGGTTATTGATATTTTTAAGGTGAGATTTCATTTAAAAAATTACTTAAAAATATTTCTAGCCATTTACTGCAGTGAGGTATAGGGTGGGTTGTTTGGTGTGTTTTTTCTAAGATAACTTTTTCTTTGCGACTGTAGCCATTGTTTTGTCTCTGTTTTATGTGGATAATATCGAAATTAATTCCATTTCATGTAAAGGTTCAATCAGCAATTGCTTTTCCAAGTTCCTCCTCCAAAATGTCTCTAGAGAATGTCCAAAAACTTCCATAATCACCTGTAATCCTAGATACATTTTATTCCTGGATTCAGATTTTTGTCTCTTTACTTTAAAGTGGAGTTGTCATGTCTAACTAGTCTAAGTGAAAATGTTTTAGGATCTTTGCATTACCATATGATCAAAACCTCTATTTTTTTAGACTTTACAATGAGATCAATAGTGTTTCCTTGATGGATCTCAGATTCTGCATTCAGTACAATACCTAACAGAGACATGATAACTGTCACACTAATTCACCAAGTGAGGAGAAGGAGTATAAAGAAATCAGAAGACAAGTTTTCCAGAAGCTCATAAATAAATTAGTTAACTCCAACTAAAAAAATATCATTGCTATTGAGTTAGAACCAACTCATAGTTATCCTTCTAGTAGGTTTCTGGGAGGCTGTAAATTGCACAGGAGGAGACTGCCCATCTTTCTCCTGTGGAGCTGCTGGTGGATTTGAACTGCCTGAGAGGCGCTGCTTTTACTTTAGCTGTGCAGCTCTCTATGGACTTGGCCACTAGAGACCCATAAGTAGTCAACAGAACAGTGAAATTAGCCTCTTTTAAAAGAGTAGGTTAGATGTTTTAAGCAATACCTTCCCAAAATTTCTTCCTGATGAAGATAATGAACCCAAAAGGCCTTTCTTTGTTTTCCTTTCTTCTTCACATCCAGGTAGTCCCCAAAGTATACAGCAGTTTCCTGGGCTGTCCACAGTTCAGATTTCTTGGAATATTTTAACAAAAGAGCATCTAAAATGACACAATTGATGAGGCTCACATATTAAAGGTCCTAGATAATTTCAGTTGACATCTTTATGTATTTTCTTTATACATTTTTTTCCCCAAATGCCAGCATGTCCTGACTAATCCTGTTAGTGAAGCAGAACAAAAAATTAAAACTTTAGGAATCACAATAAATCACAATGATCTTTTCTTTACCAAATCTCCTGTTTGGGGTGGCAAAGAGTTAGGCAAAGTTTAGAATTTTCATCAGAAAAGTTGTTGTGTACTGTTGAATCAGAAGCGATCCCCAGCGGACCCTGTAGCACGTTTTCAGAGGCACTAAATCACATGGGAGGAGATTGGCCATCCCTCTCCCTCAGAGCAGCTGGTGGATTCACACTGCATACCTTTGCGCTGGCAGCACAATGACTCACCATTAAGCTGCCAGAGCTCCCAAGTAGTTGAATATAAAGGGATTTTGAAAGCAACAAGACTTCAAAATCTATCTTGGAGCAAGTAATATATTATTGCACTTTTTAAAATTATCTGGGAACTCCAAATATAGTGGAACCTATGAAAGCCAGATACATGAAAGCCAGAATCTGTGTAAGGTGGAAACCTGTCAGAGAAGGAAAATGCAAGCATTTTCCACTTAAAGAAATTATATAAATGAGGTAAGATTGCATCCTTTTTAAAAATTTTCTGTCTTAATTTTATTTTATCTGTGTTGTTGAGAATACACACCAAAACCTAACCCAGCCATTTCTACACATAGTTCAGTGACGCCGAGTACGTCTTTCAAATCACACTGCAGCGTCCGCCAGGCTTTGCGGTGAGCTGTTTCTCCGTGGTTCACTGGCACCTGAGGTTCTGGTTGGACCTTTGCAGCCACCACCATCTGCTGGATTGTTATTTTGCTCTATGTCAAAGGGTGAAAACTTGAGAAATCAAGAAAAACAAGGCAATTCTGTTGAGCACTGGCTTTTATAGGCTCCACTGTATTATAAGAGAATACCTTTGCCTGATTTAATACATAGAAATAAATTAATCTTACTAAAAAATTCCTGACCTCACCATAGACTCCACGTTATGTATTGAAAGCATCTTTCATTTTTTAATTTAAAAAGAGAAAGCTTAGGAATTAATTTAGGAAATGAAGCTACTGTACAACAATGTAAATATAACTGAACAAGGAGAAGGTAAAAGAAAACAGTAAGGAGGCCTCATTGCTGGAAAAGAGAAGTTCTAGCAAAAAGGTGTCTATTTGAAGGGAAAGGCCAACATGAACCTTAATGGAAAAAAGTGCAATGTTTTGGTATCCATGTTAAAAGTAAATGAATTATTTTTCTTTATAGGTTGTGGTAATGCTTAAATGAATGAGAAGTTGAGGAGAACAAATAACTAAAATAAGGGAGATGCGAAGGACTGGAGAGGAGGAGCTGGAAACTGGGATGGGAAATGCAATCAGAGTAGTAGGAGATTGGAATGAAAGGTGAGCTGCTTACAAACACATCACAAGAGTGGTTAAGTGAGGGAACATGACAGAGGGAAATATATTACTTGTTTTGGAAATGTTAGGCCTTGGTTCTCTCAGGATGGTTTTACCCCCAGAAGTTAGCACACAGACATAACTAATAAACACAATTCTATAGCTTTCAGAGTCTTACAGTATGTAGAGAAGTCCATTATGAAAATATTTGCTTTTTTGGTAACAACCAATTTATATTGCAATCCTAGTCAAGATAACAGATAAAATATTGGAGTACTTCTGGGCAGAATTTCTCACACTTGATTTTATATGGAGTTACTGGGAACTTTTTAAAAATACTCATTCTGGATCTCATCCTCCAAACTTATTAGGCTGTAATTCCTTGGGGAGGTGGGATAAAGAGAAAGAAGGGAGAAGGAAGGAGAACTTCAAAAGTTCCCTAAGAGATTCTGATGCAGCATCACAACTCAGAGTTACCTTTTTGTATCCAGTATTTAGCAATCTATGTTGGTCTTTTCATCTGAAATACACTTTGCAATATGTATTTTTTTTCTTATTCAAATAGTTCTTCTCTACCTTGGGAAGGTATCAGAGCTAAGAAAGGAAACCCTTTTTTACTACCTCCCAGTTTCTCCACTAACCACAAGCTGCATTAGACACATTAACTGTGTGATTGCCCCAACCAAGGCTCCAAAAGTGAACTTGGCCTATTTCTTAAGCAAGAAGTAACTGCTGATCGCAAGAAGGGTGAAGACCTGACCAGTTCGCAAGCAATCTCTTAGACGAGCGGGTGTGAAAATCTCTGTCTATAAGAATGGTATCTAACTGAGTCAAACTCTGTCCTGCTAGAATATGAAGAGGGCAGTGGTGGGGAAAATATAAATTGGTTGGGATTGAGAATCAAAGAAAGAGATGAATGCTAACTGGATGATATGTATCCAGACTACTGAAACTGGTTGACAGGCAGTCATAATTTGAAGTTGATTTAAGCCTTGAATAATAGCTTTTCCTGAGTCCACTAAGATTCCTCTCTCTTTCATGCCTCAGATGTCCTTACAGCAAACTGCCACAATGTGAGTTAAACCACAATAGTATCTACTCTTTGTCACCACTAGGGCTTCAAGTATACAAAGAATGAGGGAGTTCCTTAAAGCCCATGTTTCTCTGCACCCACAAAGCATTGCAGGAACTCATGCCTTTACTGAGCTTTAAGTATAACAAGTCCTCCTGTACCATTGCTATCCAGTCAATTCTGACTCCATGACTCAATCTTATAAGAAGAGTGTCAGATCTTTCTTCTGTAGACAGAGAGCCTTGTGTGTTTGAACTGTCAACCTCTCAGTCAACAGCCAAGTGTTTAACCACTGTGAGTGCCGTTGGGGCTCCTAACAACTCTTCAGAGGACCCCAAGCTTAAATGCTTCCTGGAAATTGTGTACTTACTGTGTGCTTGGTGAAGGCGACTTGGCTTAAACACTCCTGTATTCTCCAGTCGCCGAAACAACCAATCATGCCTCACTCCTGCCAAGAGTTTTTCCAAGTCATCGGGCTTCAGGGTACGAGCCTCAAGGATCTCTTTCCTGGTCTTTCCTGGCAATGAAACAAAAGAACTCCCACTGGAATTCAAGAAAGACCATGGGCTCTCACCCTCAGAAGAACCACTGGAAAACACAGATGATCTAGACCACCACATCGAGGATGAGCTGGAGTTCTGGCTGCAGTTCAGCATGTTTCCAGGTCCATTCCCCTCATCTGTGGTAGTGCAGTCCTGGTTGAAGACAGGGCAAGGGCTGTTCCTGTTTACAGAAGAATGGAGAGTCTCAGCCAGCTGGCCAAGCAGTGGTCTCCGGGCACATGGTCTATGAACATCATGTTGATTTGTGATTTGAACATCCATGATGCCAAGTAGTTGACTCTCCTCATCTACTGTGGATGCATCAGGATCAATGTCTTGCTCTTTGGTTGAAACACCACCATATCCTAGGCTATGATTCTGGCCAGGCCAACAGGGAGTGAAAGAGCTGCTTGCTTTCATGGAACCACTGCCCAGAGAATCGTCTATGACTAGAGGAAGGCCTGAGGGTGCGTCTTCTGGACCTTCAGCTGTTTCACCTTCTGGGTCAACCCAGGAGGGGTTACTTTTAAATTCAAGTCCTGTGACTCTGTTAACAATTTCTTCTCTTTTCTCTTTCCCATGGCTAACTTTAGGATTGCAGTTGATTTCTGCACTTTTTTCAAAGGTTCTCTCTCCTTGGACCAATGGACAAGTAGGCACATTCTTAGACCCACCAGGACTAGAGCAGAAAGAAGCAGAACCACGTGAGGCTCTGGAATGAACAGAAGTATTTCTGGGCTCTTTATTTCTGACTTTCTGGTTACCCTCCAGAGTGTTTTTTAATGACACTTTCCCAGAGGCCACGGAATTACTTGTTATACTATGATAAGTGGCAGTTGACAAGGGCGTGTGCTTATGCAGCTGCCTCTGAGAATACTCTACATTGTCATCCTTGTACCCCTGGAGAGAGAGATCATGGACTTCTGAAGACAATGAATGCCCAGCATTGTTTCCCCCATTGTTTCCTCCCTCTTCTGACAGGGCGGTAGAACATTGCGTGTCCACAAGATTTTCTTTGTTAGACTCTTTTCCATCTGGCTTATCATCCACATAATTCACTTCCTCCCAGCTTGTAGAAGAACTAAACTCTGATAGCTTGCTCCAAGAACTGGAACTCTGGCTGTCATTCAGAGATGTGTTCAAAACAGCACCCCTGCCATTGCTGTGTTCTTGTGGTGCAGGCTCCGTCTCCGTATCTTCATCAAGAGAAACTCGGAATGCATTAGAATGGAGCCAGTTTTTCCTTCTTAGACTCTTGAGTTTCTCCCCACCATTGCTTCCTGTTTGGGAAGAAGACATTCTTGGCTCTTTTTCAAAATGGGGCTTGTCTTCAGTAACACTCACAGTATCGACGGTTTTTGTTTCTGTTTTTAGAGCAGTGATGCAGATTCCCGTATCTTTTGGTTTCTTTTGATTGTTTCTACAGGTGTTTTCAAATACTTCACACACTGAAGTATGATGTTGTGAATAGGTTTCAAGGATATTTTGGAAATCCACTTGCCCATGCAAAATGAATTTATCCAATGAACTCATGAAGCTCTCTGGAACATAAGATCTGCCATCCGAGTTTGGGAAGCTTTGAACTTGCAAATGATCCTTCACCTGGGTGATAACAGACATGATTTCTCTAGACAGAGTTTCCCTGTCCTCGCTCCCAGACAAAGTGCTGAAAGTGTACAACTTTCCCATTGCTTCACTACATAGCTGACTTGCTGCACGGATGCTCTCCGTCTCTCCATGGAGTCTTTGGTGCACTGTGGTGAGACAGAAAGCAGCTTTGACGAAAGTGTGAAGCTCCTGTTTTCCAGAAACAGGCTCGTCATCTCTCTTGGTGAGAAGGCCGATCTCAAAGGCTTCTTTAGCTTTATACAGGAACAGATTTTTCATTTCTGGGGGACAGTCACTAGAACTGCTGTACGACAATAAGCATGTGCCACAGATATTCTGAGGAAAATACAAAAAGATATTGAATTGGAAACTGGAGGTATACTAGGGAAAAAACCTGATTTTTAAAGGATGGCCATTAGAAATGTTAGAGAGGTATTCATAATTGGAAATATTAAATAAAAATATACATATCCCATATGTATACTGAGAAAAGCATACAACCACAATTGGCTTTAAGAAAACAAGGTTGTTTTCGTCGATCGGAAGAGACCATGATGTGAGTGATGGCTGCAAGAGGGGCAAGAAATTAGCTTTGACCACCATTGCACTGTAACTCTGATATGTTTTGATTTAAGGTGGTATTTTTTTTTTTGCTATTAGTCTTAGCAAACAGAGCCTATGCATAGGACATGGACATTGTATGTTTCTCTATGCAAATAAGCCTACTGTATATAAACATAACCTCTATTTAATGATAGTCAAAATTCTGGAGTAGTGTTTTCCAAACCTGTCTGTATTTGAATCACCTGAGAGAAATCATAAAATTAAAAATTTCTGAGTGCCAACCCCCCACATTTACATTTGGTGGCTCTAACTAGAGCCCTGCAATGCAGAGTTTGAAAAAGTTCCTTGGGTGGCTCTGATGTGCAGTTGAGCTTGGGGACCTTTTAGCTCTGATCAGGAAATTGCCACTTTGGCAAAGGCATTTCTTTTGTGGACTCTTGTGGCACAAAACAACAATGTGGCACAAACCCTACTTTATTAAGCTTGACCATTCTTGCTCAGGTCTGGGAGCTGCCTGCACTTACCATAGCCGTGAGCACGAATAAAGGTGTGTAGGGGGTGAAGGCAGCCGCGAGCTTGCTGACTTCTGCTGCTGACAGCAAATGGTGGTCAAAGTCCATCAGGAGAGTCTGAGAACAAACCAGCAGGTGAAGAAGTAGAATGCTGAGAATTATTTATTCATTGGCCAAAAAACCCCCAGGAAAGATATGGAATAATTTGCTTTTCTTTCAAGATTTTTATGGACATCCTGCCATATCATATCATATCATATCATATCATATCATATTTCAGAATAGAGTGCCAAAAAAGGATACATCTAAAGGCCTTGAGGTTTTCTCCAGCACATTCCCCCCAACTTTTAAAATCATAAAACAATCTAGAAACATGCCATGATTACTTTTAAAGAACCTGGAACAAATGATTGGTGCTATTATGTGGTGGTTATTCAAGTTTTACAATTATTTCACCCTCTAATTTTAGCACTAAAATGACCCCTGTAGGGAAACAGAATTTTGTGATATTATGAAAGAAAATTCTAAAAACCCCTCATTGTTGCCCAGTCAGAACCGAGTCATAGATGACCGTATCTTGGGATTCGCAGTGCAACTCCCTACAGACTATGCCACCAGACTCCCTTAAGTGGGAGTAAAAGTATATATAATCTTGTTGCTATTTATTAGTTTAACAACCAGTAAATTTCTGAGTAGCCTCAATGTGTTTGACACTGGGTTGGGTAAAGGTTGGATAAATCAAATGGGATCCACAGGAGCCATCCTGGGATAGTGCACCTTCCTCTAGATGTTGAAACACTCATGCTCCCCGACTGCTGGAGACAAAGTGGGTAACTAACCAGCTGACCCACAAGAACTTCGGCAGTTTTATGAGTGATGCTACTCTGCACCATTTTTTCAATAAATGATAATTACCAAATTAATTTGTGGATTGCTTTTAAACTTCTCATAATCTTTCTTGCTCATGGAAACAAAGATATCAGCCAGTATTCCTAGGGATGTGGAAATACCCTGTAAAGAAGAAAAATCAAAACAGAGTGGGAATTCATTATTGGTTTTATCTCAGGCCTAAAAGCAGCAATCATTCCTTCATGTGAACTATTTGCTAATGAGGAGGAGGAGGAGGAGGAGGAAGAGGAGAACAATGATGCTAGGGAAGACACTGGAGATATTTCTAAATTAAATGTTATGTTGTGTACCACTGAGTCGGAAGTGACCCACAGCAGACTCCCAGAGGGCTTTCAGAAGCAGTTAATCTCACAGTTGGAGATTGCCTATCCTTCTCCTGTGGGAGCAGCTGGTGGATTTGAAAAATCTGCCTTTGGGATTGCAGTGGAGTTTCTTACCAGTAGGCCACTAGAGCTGAGACAAGGCTTTAAAGATCCTCACATGCTGGAGCACATGGACATAATGTTGTTGTTGCTGTTAGATGCTATCAAGTCACCTCTCATTCATAGTGACTCATTCATACAACAGAATGAAGCCCTGCACCATCCTCACAATCTCTGTCATGCTCAAGCCCATTGTTGCAATCACTGTCTATCCATCTTTGTAAGGGTTTTCCTTTCCTTTACTGTCCTCTACTCTTCTGAACATAATGGAAGGATTTCAGCCACCAGTACTGATGATTCAGCTCAGGGAAAGGTTAGAACAGCTAAAATTCTTTACTTAATGACGCTCCTACAGGAGCGTATGGAATGAAAAAAATGAAAAAAATGCTTCTCAATTTATTGACTAAAGATGCTACATAAAAGTAGGTGTTTTGTTTTTTGTTTTTTTTTCTTTTAACGTAAAAAGCTTTTACAACTCAGTGAAAATGAAACCTCTGATACTTTTACATATACACAACATTTCCCTTTGAACTTTGCTGTGAAATCAAGCAAAAGTTAAATACATAACAAAATAAGAAACTAGGTGAATAGAGACAAATATATAAATAGATCGTTAGAAACATAGAAAGAAATGCTAAATATCTGTTCAGTTCATCTGTGAGAGCGGAAAGAGTAAGACAGGAGGAAAATTACTGTATGTTCCTTGTCTTATATTTATGTAGAGTAAATAATAATGTTGTTGATTGCCATCGAGTCGAGCAAGACTTATAGGGAAACTATGAACAAAAAGCCAGAAACCTTTCTATATCAAAGTTCATAAAGTTTCCAGAGGCATGTTGTTTAGGAAGTGGATGCCACTCTTGCTTCCAAAAATAGAACAAATAAAATTGACAACGTAAACGGAATTGTGTATAAAGCCATAATTATTCAAAGATAAATATGTTTCTGTTAGGTATCATCTAGTCTTGCCATCAAGCAAGGCTATGATTCATAGTGGCCTTAGGAACAACTGAATGAACATTGCCCTATCCTGTGACATCCTCAGCATCACTTATATGATCGAGCTCATTGTCAGAACCACTGCATCAATCCATCTTACTGAGAGTCTTCGTTTTATTCTCTAACCCTCCACCTTTCCCAGCATGGTGTCTTTTCCCAAAGACTAACCCCTCCTGACAACATGCTCAAAGTATGTGAGAAAGAGATATATAGGAAAGGAGCAAAAAGCAATAAAAAAAATCCCCCAACAACCTTTTTGTCTGGTTGAGGAAGTGTCAAAAATCCTATGACGGAGGCCCATATCAGTTCTGCAGCTTCGTACCACATCCCTAAGGGTGGGGGGAAGGGGACAAAAAGCAGTTGGGACAAAGGATAGACTGTTAGTATCTGTGTTCTTATGTTAGGAGGCACCTTCAAAAAGGAGAGTCACTATAAAAGGAAGATTCATTCATTGAATCCCACTGCGAGAATTCAGGGCTGTGTTAGTGTGATGAAGCAATCTGCTTTTCCAGTTGGCTTATTACAGATAGTTTCTTTCTATTAAAAAAGAAAACAGTAAGCATTGTTTCCATTACTAATCACTAATTTTTAAATTTTCCAAACATTTTAGGTGTTAACTACAGTTTTATAAACTTTGCTCGAAAAATTCCACAAATCCCTGCCAAGTAGCACATGGGTAATGTGTAGAAACCTACATAGGTAGGTGTTGAGTGTGTCAAGTTGTAAATGACCTATAGCCATCATATGAACAAAAGTCTTAAACATGAAACTTTCATCGTTTCTCCACGCTTATAGAGTTTCTGGGGGCAAGCTTTTTTTGGAAGTGGATCCCACTCCTGCTTCAAGCCTGTTTTATTTGGGAGATCCACAAAAACCAGGCCCGAGGGCTGCACAAGGCCAAATACAATCAGCTCACACTCAAGTTGTGAGCAACAGTCACACCCATGTCTACCATTCTGTCTTGAATGAAAAATGGAAGTGGGGATTGACAATACTTACCACATACAATAAGAAAATTCTATAATAAAGTCAGATTGCTAGATTTTATAAAAGGGCCTTGAGAATAATGAATGTTTAAGGAATGTACCTAGCTTTTGTAAAATTTGTCCTCTGATCTGAATACAGACTGACTGTACCAGGATCTTGTCACTTTCATTTCTGTACAGCCAGGTACCTAAAATAAAATGGGGGGGGGAAAGAAAATTATTAATGGCCTTGAATTATTAAAGAAATAGTCTGGTAAAATAAAATTATTCTGATGTACCATGTGAGTACATGTGGTATAGATTTGAGAGACAATGTCTTCCCTACAGTATGCATCAAGTTCAAACTCTGCTGTAGACTACAAGGATCTCCAAGAAACTGTCTTCTGCCTGGTCTCCAACTTCTTGCCCTCTTGTCAACTGTGTTTTACTCTCTCTGATTTTATTTGTGTTCTTGTAGTTGTAAGTGATCTCCTTCATGGCAGCTGAACTTGCTCTTACATTTGCCTAAGACCCTCTTTCTTCTGGCTCCTTGAGACCCCAGCTCCTTCTCCTTCTCCAGGTCTCAGGATCTCAGTGTCAATGGTATCACCTCAAAGACCCCTAAGATTGATTGAGAGTATTATTATATTGTGTAGTGGCTGCCTTTTAGAGCATGGGACATTCAAAATCATCACGGATGTTGAGTCTGATGGCCATATACATATACACTAATAGGGTACAGAAAGATTTATCACTTACCTAATGAGGCTTTCTGGGAACAGAACATAGGTTCTCAAGTAATTCTGTTTGATATTACCTACATAAAGTGTGACTGGTTTTTCTTTTTAATTGGATTAAGAAGAGGAACTAGGGTAAAGATTCCTGCTAGCTAGATGCCAGCTTTAACAGATGTGGGGTAAAAGGAATTGAAAGGGCCTGAAGGTTCTTGATGGTCAAACATAAAAAATAGAGTCATACTCTTTATTATTACATCTACCGAAAGCATTTTTCATCATATTGCCTTTAAAATTTTCTTCTTACCTTCTGATCCTACTTTGTATGTGTGTGTTTGCCCACAGTGTTGTAGATGGGAAGTGTGCCTATTCTAGGCTAGTTATAGTGTCCGTAAATGAACTGTGTGTGGTCAGTATTTCTATTCCAAGCTGTCTCCAAGCTGTAAATGTCCATATGCTTCAAGGATCTCAGGACTTTATATCCACTTATACAGAGAGCAGCTTTCTACAGAGGTAAATGCTGGAAGTCTTCCTCCATCCCACTTTTTTTTTTTAAATGTGTTTGACCAAAGGCCCATCATTCATCAGTCACAAAGTCCATCCAGAGACTCTCAAGTGAAAGTAGCTAGAGGATCATGAAATGGTTCTTTAATTAGAAGTTTTAGAAGGACTGAGAGTAGTGATGATTGTAAAAAAAGAAATGTTTCTTACCTGTTGCACCATTGTTGTTTATTAGATTACTCAGGATATATTCAGCTTTTAAAAGTTTCCCTGCAAAAACAAAACCCCAAAACCACCCAAGTGCTGTGTAATCCACTGCTGTAAGGTTGATTCTACCCCACAGTGATCCTGTAAGATAGAGTAGAATTGTTCCCAGTATTTCCCAGTCTATAAATCTTTGTAGGGCAGATGACTTCATCTTTCTTTATGGAGAAGCTGATGGATTTGAACTACCAACTTTTCAGTTTAGTAGCCTAACACTTGATTCACTGTGCCACCAGGACTTGTCCAATTAGGTCCAAACATTCTACAAATTGCTCAAATTTAAATCACAGTACCAGGTTCTCTCACGCCATTTAGAAACTTCTTCTTTTGAAATTTATTATTGGTAACCGTATTACATATAAAACTAAAAAAGAGAGATGAATTTTTCAGAAGTTGGTAAGGCAGGAGTAGTGCAGTATCGAAAATGATACTTAAATTCTAAATGGAAAAGATTTCATCATAATTGCATCACTAATGCAATAATGGCAAACCTTTGCATGAGATTATCTGTTCTCCACAAAAGTTGTGCTAGATGGGTAGAACAGCGCTGCTGCAGGAATAAGACTATAAAATCAAGAAGGTTAGGGGACTGGAGGTGGGGTGGGATGGAAGATGGTCTTCCTATACTTCTTTATTTTTTAAAAAAGTAATAATATTTTTATCATTCATATACCTTGTCTTTGATGCCTGTACACAGTAATTCATTCACATTACATTTCATTCATTTATATTGTGGGTTTCCCCTCCCTTTACAATTATCCCTCAAAAACTACTTTTCATGAAAGCATGTAAATCAGAGACTTCATGATTTATGCCTTTCTATCCCCACTTTAGGTAGCCAATTTCTGATTTGTCCATCTCTATCAAACCAGTATTCTGAGGGAACAAACACGTCCCTTTTGCTGAAGGATCCTTTGTTCAATTTGGAAACTTTGAGCATCTGCACCCACAAGCAAAGTCCGGTACAGAGGGAGCCATCAGGTTGCAGCAATCAACCCTAGTTCACAGCATGGATCATCTCTTCATTTGGTTGGGTTCTGGCCCACTCATCCCTAGCCACCCGTGTGTAGGTTCAAATGGTTATCAGCTGCAAGCTCAGGAGTCCACACTTGCTTGGTCTTAACTTGTTGGTCTCTTCACTCAGCCCTATATCTATGGATGGCTGCTATTTATTTAATAAGTAGTTTAGCCTGTAGCATGTTGAACTGCTAAGAAAAAAGGCCAAGGTTTGAATTGGCAAGCTTAAATTTTCTCCTGTTAAGATTTGTTGTTGTTGTTGTTGGGTGTCATTGAGTCAAGAAGCAATGAACAAAAGATCTGAACCCAGTCCTGTCCTGTACCATCCTTACACTTCCTGACAAACAAGAGCCCACTGCAGCAGTCACTGCATCAATCCACCTGGTTGAAGTTCTTCCTCTCCTTTGATGACCACCCCCACCCCCCACTTCCCAACATCATGTCCCACTCCAAGGAACAGCCCCTCCTAGCAATATGTCCAAAGTATCTGAGGCAAAGCCTTATAATTCTTGCCTCTGAAGAGCACTCCAACTACACCTTTCCCAAGACATATATGTTTGTTCTTTTGTCTGTCCATGGGATGTTTAGGGCTCATCTCCAACATCACAGCTCAATGGTGTCAATTTTTTTCTGTCATCCTCATTCATTCGCCAGGTCTTGGATGAATAGCTAGTAATTTGAAAGACTGTGGCCTGAATCAGACACATGTTAGTCCTCAAACTGACATCACTACTCCTCAATAATTTGGAAAGATCCCTAACTACAGACTTTCCCAGTGCAATGTGTCTCCTTATTTCCTGACTGCTCATACCAAGGGTGTTAAGCATAGATCCAAGCAAGATGAAGCTGTCGACAGTTTCAATCTCCTCTCCATCCATCATGACATAGCCTATTGGTCTAGTGGTAAGAATCTTTGCTTTCTTGATATTGAGACCCAATCCATATTGAAGGTGGCATTCCTTGGTCTTCTGTAACAAGTGTTTCAAGTCCTCCTCACTTTCAGCAAGTAAGTTTGTGTCATCTGCAAAACACAGGTTATTGATGACTCTCCCTCCTCTCCTGATGCACATTCCTCTTCATAATGTCCAGCTTCTTTACTAATTTTCTCGGCATATAGATTGAACAAATATGGTGAGAGAATACATTCCTGACTCATTTCCTTTCCAATTCTAAACCATGCAGTACTCCTCTGCTCCATTCGCACAACGACCTACTGATCCAGGGATAGGTTCCTCATGAGCACAATCAAGTGCTCTGGGGTTCCCATTCTTCTCAATGTCAGCCACAGCTTGTCATGGCCCACACAGTCAAACCCCTTTGCATAGTCAATAAAGCACAAATAGACATTCTTTTTTTTTTTAAAGCATTAAAGCTTCAGCAAGAAATAACCAAGGCTAAATGTCAACCTGTACAAAACTACAGAACACTATAAAACAGAATGAGGCCAGGGTGGCAGATGGGAAGAAGAAAATATACATATATTGTACAAATTAAGAGATCCAAACTGAAATGAAGAGGTTTTAGAAGTGGAATTTTTTTTTCTCCCCAACATAGATAATTACTGGGAGCTGCTGCCAGAGACAATCTGAAAGAACTTCAGTTGATTTTCTCAGTAGCCAGTTTAGGAAGAACACAGCATAAACATCCAAATGTACAGGAACTGGAAATCAAAGTACTTCCCACACGGAAGGCCTTTTGTCAGACGGTTTGCACACTCTCACAGCAAGCACACAGTGAAGACAGAAGTTGAATGGTTGTGATGTATGCAGAGATAAAGCATGTGCAGTGAGCCACCTCACCACTGGTATATTACTACTGATGTAACTCACATAAAGTTTACAGAACAGACATTTGAAGAAAAAAAACAATGGCATCTAAAAAATATAAACATTTTGCAACTGACTCCAAAGTTGGCTCCTTTAATTACTAAGAACATTGGTTCCAGCAGATAAAATGGGACGCCTTGATTTCTACCTAAAATCTAAAAGGTAATCAAGGTGTGCAGCTATGAAAGAGGTGCGTCCTCCAGCTGATGCAGAAAAAATGACAACCGAGGAGAACCAACTTCGGGTCAGCTACAGCAAGCTGCACTTGAGAGGCTAGTGAGCCCTTTCCACACCTAGCTGCTTCAAACATCCAACACACATGTCCATCCAATTTGCTACTTTAAGAATAAAAGCAAGGGGTCGGGAAGAGAGGGAGAGAAAGTGAAAGAAAGCTAAGCAACCTTTCACAGAAAGAAAGTGGCTGAAATCTATAGTAGGAAAATAGTGCGCAGTCAGAGGAAATGATGATTACGAAAAAAAAAAAAAAACAACCCCACACCAAAAACAAAAAACAACAAACCCCAAAATTACCTTCATCTTTGATTTGAAGTGTTGTTGCTGCTTTGATTTTGGACAGTTCACTCTCGTCCTAGCATAGCTTCCCCCACCCCAGTTAAAAAAAGCTTATTTAGAGACATCTTGGTGTGTTTCCTCCATTTCTGGGAGTCAGCACAGACAGTGCAATATAAACTACAGATTATTCTTTGCTGGAGAGAGGTGAAACTCGCTTTCTTAAAAAACTATGATTAATGCTAATGAGCCAATGCTGGAGGGAACCATGAAATTAAAGGAAAACGGAGGGGAAACCAAAACCCCACAATCCTAAAGCTCTTCTAGCCCAGCTTCTTAAGCAAATGTGGTATGTAGGAAGAGGGGCATTCTTCTCATCCTTCCTTACTAAAATCTGAGATCTTTCAACAAATAGACATTCTTCTGGTATTCCTTACTTTGAGCCAGGATCTATTTGGCATCATCAATGATATCGCTGGTGCCATGGTCTCTTCTAAATTCTGCTTGAACTTCTGGAAATTCTCTATTTATATACTGTTCTGGCCATTTTGAATGATCTTCAGCAGTATTTTGCTTGGATGTGATATCAATGACATTATTCAATAATTTGCACATTCAGCTGGATCAGTTGGGTGAGAAACTTCTTGGGAAGGCCAACAGGAACTGATGGGTGGGCCTTTGTATTTAAAAGTTTGTTTGTCTACAACCAGAAGATAAAATAGATGAATGGGATCTTCTAAGAATCAAATCACTATGCACATCCAAAAACTTCTCCAACAGGGTAAAAAGGGAAGCCACAGACTGGGAAAAAATATTTGCTAATGACATATTAGATAAGGGACTTATATCCAGAATTTATAAAATACTTGAGCACCACAACAAGATAAAGGTAAATAATCCAATAGAAAAATGGGCACAGGATATGAACAGGCACTTCACCAAAGACGACATGTAGTTCGTCACATACACATGAAGAAATGTTCAAAATCCTAGCCTAACAGAGATGCAAATCAAAACCACTACGATATATCATCTCACCCCAGTCAGAATTGCAAAATTTAATAGAACAGCAAGCAACAAATGCGGATGAGGTTGTGGAGAAACTGGAACCCTTATTCACTGTTGGTGGGGGTGTAAAATGGTGCAACCACTGTGGAAGGCGGTATGGCGCTTTCGCAAAAAGTTGCAAACAGAAATACCATTTGACCCAGTAATTCCACTACCGGGAATATACCCCAAAGAGACCATAACTGACATCCAAGTAGACATATGCACATCCATGTTTATTGCAGCTTTGTTCACAATAGCAAGGAGTTGGAAACAACCTAAGTGCCCATCAACAAACGAATGGCTAGAGAAGCTGTGGTATAGTCACACAATAGAATACTAGGCTGCATTGAAAAACAAGCAACTCACGCAATATTATTCAAAATGGGTCACCCTGGAGGACATTATGCTGAGTGAAGTATCTCAGTCACAAAAGGACAAATATGGCATGGTGCCACCGTTGTAAAGCAGGACTGACCTCGGAGTTGGGAGGAGACAGAAGGATGGGTTCAATAATGTATACTACATTGAAACAGAGGAGGGAGAAAACTGCTTAAGAGGGAAAATTACTAGGGATTTTTGTCATGACAGCAGTCCAGAGCAAAG